ACACACACACATACACACACATCTGATTATTTATTACATGAAATTAATTGCAGAATGTAACATACAACCCTATCTGGAGATTTACAATAAACTTTACTGATACATAAATTTTATATATATACACATTATATATCATGATATATATATGTGTGTGTGTATAGATATACACACATGATATATACATTACACATTTTAAATGAACTGGTCAGTGATTTGGAAGCAATGTATATGATAACACAGAGGAGAATTTGGGAACATGGGTCCAAAGCTACTAGTCACAAGGATTTTTAGCTAATATTCTAGACTACAGAAATGCTTAACGAAAACTATTGTGTAACTGGGAATTTATATCATTTCAGAAACAGAATAGGCAAGAACATAAAAACTGTTGTGAAAAGGTCAGTAATAACTTAGGTCAGTTCAGACGGAAGTGTTCCGTTCTAAGATCTGGAGTATGAGTATGCATTCATTTTAGATTTGTTTCTGAGGGGGATGGGGCGTGGCCCCCAGTGATAGGAAACCTCTGGGGCCCAGGCAGGGAGCCTGGAGACTCACAATGACTCCTCCTAAAGAACCTCATTCCCCTCTGCCTGATGGGGGCCCACAAGACTCCTCTGTTCTGCAGGGGAACTGCCATGAGCCTCAGCTTTCTCTGCCATGTGGCCTTTTACCTCCTGCAGGCGGGTGAGTCCTGGGCAGGGACCTGGCCTACTATTTCAGGTCCTAGTCCAAGCCTTTGCACTGGGGGTACAGCATCAGCTTTTTTCTCTTTCTCTGTAGGTCCAGGGAATGCTGGGGTCACTCAGATCCCCAAGTTCCAGGTCCTGAAGATAGGCCAGCACATGACACTGAGCTGCACCCAAGATCTGAAACATGAGAGCATGTACTGGTACCGACAGGATCCAGAGCTGGGGCTGAGGCTCATCTATTACTCATATGATGTTAACGACACTAAAAAAGGAGACATTCCTGATGGGTACACTGTGTCCAGATCAAGTAGTGAGAACTTCCCCCTCAATCTGGAGTCAGCCAGCCCCTCCCAGACGTCTGTGTACTTCTGTGCCAGTAGTTACTCCACAGTGTTACACAGCCGCCTCCTCTCTGCACATTAAGGCCAGCGAGGCCCTGCACCTGGAACTCAGTGACGCCCTGGTGGGGATTTCAGCACAGGGATGTTGGCGCTGCAAGGATACTGAGTTTGCCCTGTCAGTGTGCATCTCCAGACAATCTCAGCCAGGCCTGGGTCCAACCCTGGATACAGAGGTCTCCACTGTTACTCCTTGATGATGATTCCCTGACTGACTTTTCTAGCTCTAGGCTTGAGTCTACACCTTGCATTAGGGAACATGGCTTGTGATTTGGACCTACCTGGGCTCCTTGTCCTGGAACCATAGCACCTCTCTTGAGAATTATGCCCCAGAGCCATCTCTCATGTGGTTTCTGCTGCCACACAATTTTTCATAAGGATTGTTGCTCTCTAGAGTCCTATGAGATCTTTCCTCTTCCCATTTCTCTCTTCTTTCTACTGCATCCATGCTGCCAGCCCCTCATCCAATTGCAGCGATGCAGAGCTTTCCTTTCTTAGAAGCCAAGCCTTACTTGAGGCTCAGCAGTGCCCCTCCTAAGGGAAGTTTGCTCTTCTTCCTGCCAAGCTCAACTGCCCTTCTATGCGCTCACAAGGCATCATGTGCCTGTTACTCAGTAGAATTTAGTACAGTTAGAATCGTTCAGATCTAGCTGATTATTTTTCTACCCAACCAGAGTTTAAGGGGTGTTAACTGTCCTCTTCCCTGCCACCTTACTATATCAAGAACCCAGTTTAAAGAGAAGGGGTAGGTAAGTGAATGGTTGACCAAATAGATGGAAAAACCAATAACAAAAAGATCACGCCCTAGTTCACACATTACCCCAGCAGAAGTCACATCCCTTTCATTGCTGAGCTGTGGTGGGTCTTGAAATATTATGGGTAATCTCCTGTCCTTGGTTGCCAGATCTGGCTTTTTTTTTTTTTTTT